TAAACAAAACACACGTGAAGTTAAAAAACGTTCTGATCTTGAAACTTCTATGATTCCTACCTCTGCCTGAAATCCATAATTACAACTTTAAAAAAGGAATATCAAAGATGCTTTAAAGACATAAACTGCTAACAGGAAAGGCAGATTAATTGAACATGCTCAAATGGACATAAAATTGCTCTAATACACTGGAAAAAAGAAAGGGAAGGAAAATAAAAAGAGGATCATATCACACAAATATTACCATATTGGTAATTATATCTGTTCAACAGACTTTTTGAGGAATTTCTTTTATAACATGTTTGGTCACTGTGTGTGGCAATCACAAGTCTATTTTTTTACACGTTGCAAAAGTATCACACATGTGGAACATTGCACTCATCATGCTACTTAAAATGAAACCAAGCCTCAGTTTATGCTAAATAAGATTCCTTACTTGCTACCATGACACTTAGTCACTAAGACTGCAGGGTTGCATTTCAGCTAAAAAAAAAAAACAAAACCAAAAAAGCCCCCACAATACACTGCAGATTTCTTTTGGCACCAAGCAAATTAAAATTCTCAGTCACCATTAGAATACTATTTTTTTCCAAATACATACTAGATAGAATATACAATCACCATGAAATAAAAGTGCTCAGCTGAAGCATTTGTGTGTAGGTGTATATGTACATACCTAAAACATACACAGAGACTAAATATGAAGAACACAAGCAATGTATTGCAATAACAGCTCTCTTCTTAAAGACAGATTTATGTAACAGTGTAAAACTTGGAAGTTATCTTTACTACTATTAAAAGCTCCCCAGTATCTCTAGATGTCTGCCTTCAATAAATCCTGGAAAGATTCTGCTCACATACTGAGTTTCACGGAATGTGCAGCACGTGTCAACTTCAATAAAATCAGTACAGTTCTTTAATTACTCCATTCACCCAGCAGCTGCTTTAACAAAGTATTTTTCTGAACGTGTAAAAATGTAAAATACCAAAAAAATCAGTCATCTATGTGCAATGACTACTCAGCATCTAACAATAATGGATATACTGAAGGAAAAAAAGGTGAGTCATGCCAAGCCCTTAATTCTCAGTGACTGACTGTAAAGCACTTACAGTCAGCACTAAGCTTTTAAAACTCTAACCCTAATTAATCGTAAACAAAGAAATAAAGACCTCACAGTTAGTTTTAAAATCTTAAACACTAGCACATAACTTTAAATAGTTTTTCTGCTTTTTCTGATTCACACAGCATTCTTCCCAGGTAAAATATGGACTTCTGCACGAACACAGGCTAACATACGAGTTAAAAAATAGCAACACCTATTTAAACACAATTATACCTGGCATTTCGGACTTCAGTGGTAATGTATTGCTTGCTATAGAGCAGAAAACATCCCCGTTAGCCAAAACCAAAGGTGCACAAGATTCAGAAATCTATGTGCACACAACCTCTCCCCTTCTCCAAACACTTGTGCCCGCAAGTCTTTTCATGGTACAGGACAGCAAACACACTCTTCCCAGGCTGTAGGGAGCTTGGAAATGTATGACTTGCACACATTTATTTCAACCTTGGTGACAGCACAGCAACGAAAAGCCCATTAAAAAGAAAAAAGGCAGATAACTGGATACAATCAACTTGCAATCATTTTCTTGTAACGTGTTAGTGAAAGAGTGCCAGCTAACTAATCTTAGTACAGAACAAACCTAATTTATACACAGCAGGATGTTGTCAGATTATTTTAAAGCTAATAATTATTTCTAGCAGCAAGGCAACACTACATTTTGTAGAAGTACACACTTTGTAGAAGACGTTTGCTCTGAAAAAAAGATGTTCATGTCTGTTTAAGGGGGGGAGGATGGATGAACAAGAGAAACCCATCAAAGCCTTCGAAAAAAGCATGGCACTAGGAGACAGGAACCTTACCAATGCCCCTCCAAGTCCTTTTTTTAAAGAGAAGCTTAAATAACTTTGAGTAACTTTTCAGTAGAAGCGGCCATACTACGAAGATATTTGCTACACTGAGACTTTTCACTCCTTTCCAAGCCAAAACGATGTCTACAATGACCCAATCTGACCCCAGGTGTTGCAAAAGCCACAGAAGCCTGTGAGGAATTCCTCTACCCCACCCAGCCATTTGTTCAAGCATATACCTCTATAAAAATATTTCATCCTCACCCAAAAGATAGAAAATCTAATATTCCCTTTCTAATAATTTTCAATGATTCATTGCCCTTATTAAAAGTTTGCTCCTTTGTTTGTCATTAACTGATTTTTATCTCTGTATATTGTCAACACATACTGCCTTGAAAATGTGTTGCTATGTCTCTGGAGCATGCAAACAGTCATATAAAACCAGGTGTCCCATTACAGATGTAAAGATTACTTTCAGAAATGCACCTTTTATTCAATCAAATTAGAACTGAAGTTAAAGGAGTTAGAAAGTAACCATATAGTACCTATTAAGAAGGTAAACTATATTTTCTCAAACATATTTGTGGAGAACATAAAAAAAATCATGTATTTATAATAATAAACACACAATTATGCATGGGATTCCTGATAGATTCATACAGAATGTAGCAATCACCAAAGAGCCAGGAAGTCTATATGAAACCAACCTATTATTTGGAGTATTTATAAGAAGAAAATCTGCCTTCTCTGAAGTTATGTTTTCTTTTTAGCACTACATACAAAACACGGCAGTCTTAACTAGAGTATTTGATCATTTTAAGTGCTTGGATGTAAAAATTTACTTACTGGGGTAACAACAGTTACAGGAGCAACAGTGTTCTATCTAAGACATGTTATTTTGCAGTAGTGGTTTACCTATGTGTTACCACTTAAGCAGGCAAAAAGATTACTAGGAATCACAAGCATTTCATTAAACATTTTAACCTTGGTACTACAATAGTCCATATTAAGATAAAAAAAATTATATGAGTTATGAGCTGTCTCAGAAAGATGTGGAGGCTCATTTCCACTTAGTTCATGGTCAGGGAAGACATCTAACAGTCCTTTGGAGGAGATACATTACTTCTGAACCCAGCACTGATACTGAGAGCTCAGCCATGGCTTGACCCTGGGCTGCTGGAACAGGGCATAGCTCTCACACCTGGAGCCACACCCCCCCTTCCCCACAGAACTGCAGAGACTGGATCGGGGCAAGCTGAGGATTTTGGAAACTATGTGCCTGGCACTTTCCCTCCTTGAACTATGCACACACCAAGCACTACACTGCACGTATAGGCTAATGAGGTAAGAAAGACTTTGACTGAAGAGTCCAGCATTTTCTCAACACGTACATAGTCAATTCAATTCAAAACTTGGCAGAAAAGCAATAGGTTTCTCACTGTCACATCATAACTACATTTTTTTACACAGAATTTTAAAATATTAGTGAATTCTAAGTTTGTGCACACTTCCAAATCTCTCTTTAAGCCTTAGTCCTGGGACCCAACCTGCCTCATCCCTTCACACTACTATTTTTCAGACCCACAGTTCAGGGAACAGCAGATGTGGGCTGCAGCCTGAAGACACTGTGATAAGGCAGTGCTGCCAAGGATAAACCAGCCAGGGGAGGCAGTCCTTTGCCTGCAGAGCAGCACTTGCCCCTTACACACCACTTCCTTTCTAGACATAGTATGTTACTTTCCTCCCTTACATAGGGTACAATATGGCCAGTGCATACTTCCTCATTCTTTACCATAAGGTCAATTAGAAGACAATAGATGCCATGCCAGCTGAGCTGGATATTCAGTCCTTTCTATGACTGAACTCTGTTCTTTCCATCTGGCACTGCCCTGAGAGGAGATGAAAGCAGCATTGCCGCTCTCAGGTTTCTGAGGATCAGAAAGCCTCTTGTTCCTTGTACCCTCAAGCTGTCTATAGGACAGCACCTATACTCCACAGCCTTTTCACAAGAAGGGTCAGTGCTGAAGGAGCTGTTTAGTGCACTATTTTTTCTCAGGATGACTTTGAGTACTAGAGATTATCCATGCCGTTATAATTTTGGCACAGGGAATATCAGGATCTTGGATGCCTCATCAGATTCCAGCACCTACTGATTCAACACTGGAGAAGCAGCAGCAGCCACTCCTGCTGGAGGTGTTCTTGCCTCTTCACTCAAGGCAGTTCATGTCAAAAGCAGTTCTCCTGAGGCATGTGTTGGCTGAGGCAGCCTCTTTGATGAGTAAAGCATGACTGTGTGTTCTCTAGATAATGGAAACATTTGTACCGTTCCTGTACCTTGACCAGATATGTTTTCCTGAAATAGGTGTCTGCCATGTACACACGCTCACGTCACTTCTCTCCCCTCATACTGGCACAAGAAAGGAGTAAGTCAAAAAGCACAGGTTTATTTTGTATTATCCAAGATATCCATGAAATGTGAATATTATACGACATAACTGCACAGCTTTCTAACACTTCCAATTTTTACAACAGCCGAGAGATGCAAACTGCACCTGCTGAAAAGGCTACACCAGGACCAGTCCTCAACAACCCTCTTGTCAACACACCACCCTTCCCAGACACGCCGTCCTCACAGCTGGTCTGTGTATTCCCTGCCCTTTCATCAAAGTGACCCAGGGTGATAGATAACTAATATTTGATGACACGATTAACTTTGGCTCAAATAAGTCTGAGTGTGCTCAGGGAAGCAGTTCAGTTTGCTTCCCTAGCAGGGGCAATAACCTCCCGGAGAGAGTGAGCAAGCAAGCGTGCAAGAAGCCTCCTCCTTTAACCAGAACAGCTGCTGACAAAGGAGGCTGTATCTCTTGCCTTCTCTGAAGTTAATCCCAGCAGTTTAAAGCAGACTTGTGAAAAAAACATGAATCTGAAGTAACTCTAAAATGCTACTCCAAGGACACATTAGTTCCACTTGAGCCAAAGTATACGCCAGACGCAATAGGTCGGGTTCTAGTCGAAGAGATTGCAGAGAAAGTAAGAGCTAATAATTCTTAATTTGGCATAACATGACATTCCCAACAGCTTCTCTCTCTCCTTCCAGTAATTGCATCTTGGCAGTGTACATATTAAAAAAATCATTGCACAAAAGATGTTCTGTTGGGGGGGGGAATAGGAAAGCACCTTTCTTTGTGTCATTTTGAAAACTGAAGATGCTTTTACTGAAAGGCAAAATATGCTGATCAAAACACGCCGAGGACAAAACCTCATTCATTCCTTATTTGTTTAAGAATTACCAAAAGGAAACATTTTTGCAGGAGGCTAAGGCAACAGTAATTTAGACAATAATAAATTGAACATTGTAAGAATAACCCATTGAATAAAAGAACTCTGGCAAGAAACTTTTCACATAGCATTCAACAGATATTCAAATAAATGAATGAAGTATGCAAGTTATATTACTTCAAAAATAAAGACTTTCCAGAGGTTTACCATAATGACAACATTGTATAGAAAGATACAATAGCTCTTTGTAGCCTAAAAATTGTCAGTTTTATTTTACAAAGATGACTTGCAAAAGCATCTTGTCATGACAATCGAGTTTTGAGGAAAAAACAACCTGTCATTTAATAAATAGATGAAATTAACTGTCATTAAAGCCACTTAAGCACTCCTCCTTCCTGTTATCCTTCTCATCTTGGCAGTAACTGATAAGAAGATTTCAGGGAGGCTCAGTCATTGATGGCAGGATCTAGAAAAGAAACAATTTTGCATACAGTTATCATTCGCATTCACAGCTTCTAGTTACTGTATTTCACTAACCTGCACTTAATTGGCTTCCTTCTGCCACTGGCGTGAGCACAATGGACCATGTACTTCATACAAATCACCACTCACTGCTGCAATTACACCTTATACCACGAAAATATCGAAGTGGTTGCAATCCTATCATGTTAATAGTGCATACAGAGGTAACATTAACAAAGTCCTGTTACCCACCAACTACAAATTGCTATTACCAGCCATGTGTGTCAGCCAGTAGGGACCAGACATTACTTATTATCATGCAGTTCATTACTTATGGGACATGGTTGAACTTGGGACTTGTAGATTTCTCTGTAACTTCTGGAAAATATACTTCTTGTCAACAAAAACATACCACCAAAATAAATGAAGGACCAGATGCAATGGTTACAACAGAATTAGTGAAGAGGAAAACTACAAATCCAAGATTTTGTTTGGCTAAGCAAGCAGCTTCAAGAGGAAAGGAGGACATGGATTGGGCAAAGAAAAAGACCTGAGCCTGGCATATCCAGAATAACTCCCATGCAACCCCGGAAGGCTGTGTGCATGGCAACCCCACTTCCAACATACAGAGTAATTAATTGTATTCCCACATTAAAGCTACCATGGCACACCTCCACCTTGGCAGATTTCTGACTGGCTTTAATCTTCTCCATCTTCCACATGCCAGGTTCCTCACACCAACTGGCCCTCACTGACAGCTGAGTTTTTAATGCCATGCAGTACCTCGATGCAAACAAGCTTTGCCCTTTTTTCCACCATTCTCTAGACTACACAGACAGTTAGTCATTGCACTGACATAACAACTCCACCTTCTCCACCGTAGTGTAGCTGTACATCCACTGATGTGAGAATGGGAAGTGAGGGTCTTCATCCCTACAGGAGCAGAGCTGCCTTTCACTGAGCAACTTGCATCATTTTTCATGCTGAGGACAGAGCATATGGTCCTTCGAAGGGACATCAAAATAAATATGACAGGTCAGTGCAATCATCATACTGAATGAATTCAAATGATGCCATACCTAAAATGAAATGTGTGCACATAATAAAGATTCAAATGACAAAAAAAAAATCCCCCACCCTTTATCCCTCTTTGAATTATTTATGAATTCTGCAACTCCAGCTGTTGCCACTAGCCCAAGGACATTACTTCATTTTGGGAATGACACTTCACATTAAAAGATAAGTTAACAAAACAAAACAAAAAAGGACACTGTGGGCCCTCCTTAAAAGCCACAGCAAAGTGCAATACATCTTTTCCCTGCATTTACAAAGGAAAATAATCAACAATCAATTCCGTTCATGTTTCTCAACTTGTTTCAATAATTCCAGACACAGATTTCAACACTCATGCATTAAAGTCAGCCATGCCTTTTTAACCATTGCAGTTAGGCAAGACTTTCAAAGCATCTTGGATCCCTCACCTATTTTTTTAGGGTTATCTCCATCTTGTAGTTCACCATAAACCACTTGCCAGCATACCAAAGACTCTGTGATACTATCAGCACTCAAGTTAGTGACAGCTTTTAGTACGTAAAATGGTCATCCCAAGAAAACGCAGACATTCTGCATATACACAATATATGCAATACATTTTTTACTACACAGTAATTTTTTCATAAATTATAACACCTTCAACATGTGCAGTTTAGGGCATAAAGAATTGTTTTCAACTAATCATGATATTTAGATTAGCAAATTCTACGTAGTGCTATCTGCCCACTCATGGACTGCTCTGATTTGGGTTCCATCATGTATTAGTTCTTAGATTTCAAACAAACAAATTGGCAGAGAGTGTGGGGACGGCTCAGTCAGTAAGCACAATTTCCATCACCTACATTAACATGCACTCCTTCCCTCCCACACTCTTTAAACTATGAACTCATTTTGGTTGGCTGATCTGTAGAGCAAGATAACACAGATGCTGAGTAAACAGGAAAATAATAACTTTTTTTTAAAAAAATCAACCATTGATTTTGGTTGCTACCTTATTCATAGTGGAATCTGATTATTAAATAGGTATAGAGATCTGAACTGTTACACGAAACCACCCACACCATTAACATCGCATCACCTTTCCACTACAGGATCATATTGATGCACTGTGTTCATGTCAGGTCTGAAATTAACTGAAATGGGTCAAAATTTGCAAGTTGCCAAGCCTGGAGGGACATATGACCCATAAATATTAGCCTTTCCTGATTTACCAACAGCCTCTTCTCTGCCACAAAGGAGATTACTGCGTTCTTACCCATGACCTTCATTTCACAGTGTTTTACGCTTTTACTGTTACCTAACTGAACAGCAGTTGGGTTTATGTTCTGCTCCTGGGAGATCCCAAATGCCATAAGAACTTTTAACCAATTAATTATTTGGGAATGTTTTTTGTCTGAGTTTTTATTTTTTTCTCCTCCACAATCACCTGAAAGTGGACTCACAGTTATCACAACTCTAACACCAAAAGGAGATATGTGAATAAACCTCAGAGCTTCCAAGGTACCAGGAATCTCCAGTATCATCCACAAAGCTTGCAAGTCATTTGTCAGCTTTCTGCAGCTGAGAATGCACCATTTGCCTTTAGTGCCAAGCACATGGTTCAGACCCGACCTAGAATGCCAGACATTTAATAAGCAAACTCATCTTTGGGAAAGGCAGCAAAGCAAGAGTTGTTACCCGTCCTGCAAGTGAAACAAGCCAATGGCTTGCAAGCAGAGCCCACTTCAGTTTTGCTGTCAGCAGTACCTCCAGCAATATCTGCTGTTATTCAGTTTGGTACCACTGAGCTCATGCAGTGTTATTCAGGAAAGGGAGATGTTGTTTAAGCAAACGTTTATTTGCCCTTCAGTCTGCATCAGAACTGGCACCCAGCCCTGATCAGTCTCCCTCTTCCTCGCTACTGTGAGAAAGCTACCAAAAAAGAGCATTCCCCTCCCATCTCCTGCTGTTGGTCAAAGAAACAAAACATACAGAAACAAAAGAGAACTCGGGATTTGTAAAATACCACTGAGCAGGAAATTAAGGTTCAACATTGGAACATTTGTAGACTTCTTGTAACATTTACCAAGAGCCCCAAAGTCTCCTGTTGTCAGAGCTATATATTTCAGTTTATTACTGCCTCAACATTAATAATTCTCCAAAATTTTGGAAATCCCAGATGCTGTGCACAGACCCTCTCAAAAGTACAATTATTTACAGTTGTAACCCACCCAAAAGTACATCGCATTTTTTTCTGAAAATTAACAAAGTAAAAACAGGAACATATCTCACATTCCAGGGTTGCCATTTAACTCTCAATGCCACAGGTTCTCAAGTGCCTCCTGAAATACTTTCTAGCTGTGCTAAAGGAATGACATTTGGAAAAAATCACCTGTGTGCTGATAGGAAAACATCCTTCTGAAGATTTTCACAAGCTAGTTGGATGCAATTGAAGTCAGTCCTCAGAAAATAAGGGAAGTCGTCTTCGTGCCCAAACATGCTCACTAAATGCTTCTGGCTATGACATCGTTTCATAATTGACACATTATATAAAAACACCTCAAGAAGATATCTTTTTGTGTATGTCTGGATTACACAGCTATTTATACCCAGGGCCTCTGCAGAGCCTTCCCATTGTTGCACAATGCTCTTGAATACAAATGACCAATTGATCCTTTCACATGATAGGGTGGCTTGGTGGGTTTTTTTTAGTGTTCGATTCTTTTAATGTTAAAAAGAATTGTACCTCAGCATGGCCTTAAATCTAATCCTTACCCTGAACAGCTGAAGTACATTCATATTAATCTATTAGATGCTTTTCCACACCACACCTATGGCACTGCATAAGTTACTGTAATTTAAATGAATCACTGCTTGAAAATTCTCATTTGGTAAGAAAAATGCAGTGCTACATGTTACAGAAAGAAAAATGTGCACTATGGTAACTAAGTTTTATAACACAGTATATCTGGGTGCTCATAAACCAGCTACTCTAAACTGTTAAAGGACAAGAATATTAGACTGATCACACAGAACACGCATCATTATGCCAAGAAGTCAATAACATGAAATCAAATCTACAGTTTATTTAGATATATTTCCATGCTCATATTCAGAATCCACATTAAAAATGCCATTAGGCTGGCTGAAGAATATTACTGCAAAAGACATTTACACCAGTAGTAATTCTATCTCTGTCCCGGATAACTTGCATTTTTCTCTTTAAATGTTTGATCTCCTGAAATATATTGAAGAAAAAAACTTGGGAAAAAAAAAAAGAAGGGGAAAAAACCAAACAGAAAATCCCTGAAGTTCTTTTGTTACATTATTCTACATATTACTACTGTTTAAGGATGAGTTGTTTAAGATTGCACATTTCAACTACCTAACAGTAAAGAATGAAAAGCTTCTTGCTACAAGCTAAAAAGAAAGTCTTTACCATGCTCCTTGAAGAGCTCATTTTCACATTACTCAGGCTTCATTATGCTGAATCAATATTCGTTTAGTCACTGGGGTTATTGACATATTTTAAAATAAAAGTATACCCTTCAGCTACTGCACTCATTACGGGTAATTTGTCTTGTCAGGGAGCAGGGAATATTATCCCAGTCTTTCAGGGGCTGACAGCCCATGGAAATACCTCCCCTTGGTTACAACTGTAAATAATTTTAAGGTAAAATATTGAAAAATCAATGACTGTTTCCTGCAATCTGTCACAAACAAATCAATCATAATCTGCACAGCCAGAGAGTATGATTTGAAGGAGATGAGAGCAGATGTAATTCTTGGCTGGAATCTCTCATTTCAAAATCACTTCACATAATGGTGTCATCATTTAAACACTTAGCAGTCACTGCAACTGCCACTCATAACATCTAGTTGGACAAAACCACAAGGAAGAGGAGGAGAAATGCCATTGCTGTTATGTAAACAAACACTTTATTTCAATGGTTGCAACATTAAAGCAAATTTCACAGATATAACAGCAAGGCTCCCCTCTCCACAAAAGTCCAAGACACTTTTCTTTCTCAATGGAAGACTCAAATTAGCCTCCTAAAATGCAAACCATTTTAAATGTTAAAACAAAACTTCATAAAGCTCCATAAAAGATAAGCAATAATATCTAGTACTAATACTACTTCTAAAAATATTTCAGTTTCATTCACTCCAAACCACTCATAACAGAATTATGCATCAAATTCTTAACAAATTAAGAAAGGAGAATTATCTGAGGTACCTTTGTATTTTTAAGAGCAATAAGGATTTCAATGCTTCTTTGTCCCCTACATATTACATTTCACATCTAATTTTCATTAAGCACACACCAATTCAACTTTAGGGTAGGGAAACGACTGCAGAGTACAGGGGAAATAAAGTCATAATATACATAAATGAATTGCTAGTATATTTTCAACTTGCATTTAAAGATTAAATGTTGTATATGGAATTATATTTGTATAAAAGATCAATTCATACATAAAGAATTAACTACTGCAGTCAGAATGCTATAAACTGATCTTTGTAAATGTGAATAATTTGTGTAAAACTAATCTTTTTTTATAGAGTAACACTAATGCTCGGACTGAAATTATTTCCTCATTTGTCCCCCACCTCACTACATTTTCACCCTGACACTACAGAGTTTGAGAGAATTCTCTGCAGATCAGACATGACAAAAAAGCAGCACACAGGATGAAACTGCTGTGCAACTGCAACCATGGGCCTAAGCCTGCATTCCTTGCACAAACAAAATTCACAAACGCTCATGGAGTGTTTCACTCTGGAGTCTATAATTTGAGCTCTTAATCTTTAATGTGCAGAGCCCGTTATCACATACTCATTTTAATCACATTAACCTTACCAACTCCTGAATATTTATCTCACAACTGTGAGACTAAGAAAAAAAATGCAATCAAAAAGATGAAACTATTTTCTCTTTTCTTGAAAAAAAATCCCTTAATACTGTTTTTAAAAATTAAATAATAGGGTATATTGTACATCAAGTAAACCTCTCCAAGGTTTGCCTTCTTTTAAAGCAGGCTTTAAGTCCCTTTATCTTCTACATGGAAAACACACATCTCTAACTCTTTATTGATACACATCAAAACCACTATTGTTTGTAACAGCTGGACAGATTCTCTCTCTTAGCAAAATAAACTATTAAAAAAACCAAACAACTCAAGTCTTAGACCAGAAGAAACAGTGAGTGCCTTAGAGGGTAACTAAGTGTAAATATCAGCCGTGAAGCGGATCAGCTTATCGTGGGGAAAGGCCGCCCTATCGCGAAAGGAAGCGGGAGGAGGCAGGGGGTGAGTAATTGCTAAAAACAAATGTAGCTCCTAGAAATGAGTTGCAGTACCTCACTTTTTCCCTGGGTGAGATCTATAATGAAGCTATCCGACAGACAGCCTCAGGCTCCTCAGCCCTTTCCAATCTCCTCACCGGCCAGCGACGCTCAGGGAGGGAAGACCGTGCTCGCTACATTAAGCCATGGTGTGAGGGAGAAGCAGTGCCACACTGAACGTGTCGGCATCTTTCCCCACTGCCATTCCCCTGAGCCAGGCTGTTATTTCTCGTGACAATCGCCTAATTAGGTGGGTCAAGAATTGCAGAAGATAGAAGAGATTCATTCTTCCTACATGCCAGCTCTCCTATTTGTAAAAATGAAGGCAATGACTCTTCCCCTCCATTGTAAGGCACTTAATAAATGTTAATAATAATTAAGTCAGTCACATCTCCCAGACAACACTGTCAGAGCTTTTCTTGCAATATTTGAGAACTACTGGGCTCAGGAGGGAGCTCCAGACAGAAAAGGACTCACAAATTCCATCCTTCGTTGCAAGAGGTCACAGAGGGCTGTGCCACAACAGACATTTCACAACCACTCCCTGACAAGGGAAGCCCTGAGAAAAAAGAGCAGCACATGCTGTGGCACTACAGATGTTTATGGGTCAGCACTGCAAGTGCTATTTTCTGCTGGACAAAGCCTTAAGATGCTGTAACAGCTAAGAGGACTGTGAAGTTTTTCTGGTTAAGAAGTTGAACTAGCTTCAATTTCTTGAATGAAAAGGTGTTTTTCTTCATTCCATCTTTATCAAGAAACAAAAGAACTACAGGCTATGGAAGAGCTGAAAAAAGAAAACACATTAGCTTAAAAAAAGCTATTAGTATTTCCTCTATTACCCACCTTCTCCATTTACTACTCTCACTCATAATGTTCATTTAAGCCACTGGCATATGTTCATTTATTTAATGTAGCTCCACATGATCACCAAACAACGTAGCAATGCAATATTACATCATGCAACATAATTGATATTACACTATTAGCAATACTCTACCTAATGAAGTTTAAAAGTCTTCATGTTTGGGCATTATGGAAAGAAGAAGAATCCTGTTTCGAAATAGCTCTGCCTTCCAATTCTCTTCATCCCTTCTTCAGCATTGCTGAGACCATCTCATCTCACTGAGCTCACCTGGAGGACAAAAATAGAAAGAAGAGCATACTTATTGCAATTCTTGTCACCTGCACTGCATGATTTTCTCAACAGAAACAGGACTAAAGCTGATGTATGGGGAAATATTAATTCTGGATTTTGTTAGAGACTGAACCTACTACCAAAAGGAATGTGCCACTACTGTAATGACTTGTTTAATGAATCATAACATACAAAAAGCAGACTACTTACCATTAACTCTGAATAGGACTTAATATGATTAAAAAGAGCTGCAAGCCCAGATGCATTCTGGCTTGTATGAGGTCTCTTCCTGTACTCAGGCAGGTATGGGATTGGATGGACTGCTGGGTTCATTTTCCCCCCTGTGAACCTCACTGCTTCTGCTCTTGGGTGCATTCTATAAAGACAAAAAAGCAGACATATGGAGAGGCTCACCACAAAGCGGTGCCTACGGAAATCAAAGATCTGTGGAATACAAAAATTTAATGGCATTTAGCTAATGAATCAGTAATAGCATTAATAACTTGCTTTCGCTCAAAAGCACAACAGTCTAACAGTTATATGAGCACGGACACCAATTTAAATCTGAACATGTCTGGGACAAGCAGAGAGTTCCAGTTAGGTAAACTGAGGCTGAAGTTACAGGAACAAATTTAGGTCATGGGATGTGCCAGAAACGGAAGAAGAAAAGGTCTAGTCCCTTGCCTTCTACCAAGTGTTCCCATCCCTTTTTCAGCCAGTGTAAAAGTCTCTCATTCCTTCTGCTGTCTCCTCTCAAAGATCTATCCAGGTGACCTCAGCTTGAGTTTCACTCAGGGACACAGTAGCGCAGTTTATACTACAGAGAATATCAGCTGAATTCTAACTGAAGCAATAAATTAAATACTGAAATAAACTTAAGAAAAAGCATAGAGCAAAAAATATCTTTAAAATAACTTCTGAAACCCAGGCTCTACAGAGCTGTCCCTCTTCCCAAGAGACATTCATGGAACCTAATGTCTACAGAAGCTGGGATACAGTAAGGTCCTTCCTAGACAACAGCCAGCAAGCCAGCACAAACAAAGTAATTCTTGCACTGCCAATATCATAAAGAAGTTGTAGGCACCTTTTTATAATGACAGAGTATTCTTAATAAAAGCTTCAAGCAGGTTTTACAGCTGCATATTATCCAATGAAACCAGTAATAAACTGCGCTGTAGAATTATTTAGTGCAACTCCAATACACCAAGAGCCTCAGCCTCGATTTTATTTATCACACAGGCTAAAATGTTAGTTCTTGGCTTTACAGTAGCAGCCAAGCCTGTAGCTATCTTTTATTCCAGCACACTGCCATCTGGATATTGATAGTTTGCTATGGGATATGAAAGAAGAGCATAGTTACCTAATACAGCTTAATTGAAAACAGAGGATCTACATATTATACCACATATTATTCTATATAAAATTAAATCTGAAGGGCATGAAAATTTCTGTAGGTGTCAGCAGAGATTATTTCAGAGGTAAATGCTATGTTCTTGATCTGTGCTCGAAATGCTAAGAAATATTGCAAAAAATATGTGCTTATGAAAAGAAGGAGCTAGGTTTTTCTCCGTTGTGAAAAAAGAAGTTGCTCAGGAAGATGCATCTCCTTCAGGAAGAGTAAGAGAGTGACCAGTCCCAAGTTTATTAGTACAGTAAACTCTGTTATAATAATTCATATTCACCTTGAAAGGTCCAACTGCTTTGCTTTTTTCCCCTCAAACAATGATTTATGTATTAAAAAACCCACATTATTCTGGCTCGACAAATATACTCACAATAATCTGAAAAAAACCCAGTTTCAAGAATCATTCACATTTGCATTATCCACATTAAAGGACAGAAACTAAAAGGCTCTAATATTAATAAAAACCAGAAATTATTAACTGCTAAAAAGAACTATTTGGGTGTAGGGCTAGAAAGTCTACCTGGCTCTGTGTTTCCCCTCAGAGAGGTACCGCTGAGCTCTTGCACACACCGGCCATAAGGACTGCAAATATATGTAAGTAAAGCAGATAAAGCACAAAACCTTTGGAACACAACACTGCTATTAAAAGTCACCCACCTCTAACACCCACACAGGAGGCCAGATTCCAGCTACAGGAGCTCCCACCATGCTGCAGCACCTGCATTCAAAAGGGAATTTGCCACCATGTGGGAAACTACAGGCACACACATGTCCCATAAAACAGCACGGGCAGCCACAGCCATCCTTCCCACTGAGTTGCTCTTCATTTGCTATAAGGACCAACTAAAAGTAGATGCAGTTTGTTTTAAGTGAAAAACTTGTTCCAGACATGAAAGAGAACAGTTTTTCATTTTTCACTGAGAGTCTATTTTCTGCATATGTCCATGGAACTGTAAGTAAAATAAACTCTAAAGACATTCCTAACTTAGTCCATATTATGCCAACAAATTCAAGCAAATAATGACATTTAAGTTAATTACAGGAAACTTCAAGGAAACTGAAATACAATTTCAGGTTCTCCCACAATACTGTCAAGATCTTTGGAGTTACATGTTCAATACAATAACTAGGTGCTTAAAAGGCTTGCCAGCTGCACTTCTGTGTTTTATTCCACTCACTAAAAAGGTTTGCTGAAGCAATTTAAAAAAAAAAACAAACTGAGACTGATAATTGGGTTCCTTCTAGCAGACAAAAAATTACATAGAAAGGCTTGAGACAAAAACAAAACTTTATCTAAGGTAACTAATACCCAATTGCTAGACACAGAAAAGAAGAGTTATTCTAGGTGTTCACAAGTTTACACCTCAGCCTCAGACCACAAACACAGAGTGTGAACAAGGAGCATCTTGGGCAAAGTAAGTGCAGGCAAAAGGAACAGCAGAGCAGTGGAGGGTGTCTTGCAGAGAGAGCTCTTCCCAAGACTGTTCACCTGGGCTAAGAGCCACTAAACACCAGCACTTCCACTGCTCTCACTGACCCTCTAACTCCCAGCACTTCATCCTAGGGAAGCCAGCAGCAGTATCTGCAGGAAAGTGTCCCTAAGTTTTACAGCCAATATTTTACATGCGTTTTTTTAGCTCTAGCTCAGTTAATAATGTACTGATTTAACATAGGAAGACACAAGCCCCTCCCTCCTCTTTGCATGCTAATTAGTTTTACTTCCATGGTAGTGCAAAGATGAGAAAAGAAAATTTTTTTCTCTTCATGCCTAATTAAAAAAATGAATATTCACATGTATTTATTTCTCTCTGTTATGAGTTAACACTTTTAAATATAGTGTATAAAACATCTCTTATCAGATGCTTCCAGCAGCAATTTCCATCTGAGTCTCAGGGGTTTCTTTTTATAGGCCAGGCTTATACAAAACACAATACATGGGAGGGGGATTACTTTTTAAAATTTTTTTAAGAGGATTCCCTTACAGATCTCTTGGTAACATATTCACAAATCGAATTGGAGAAACAAATTATTCAGTAAGTGTCTAAGGTCAGGCACTCTGATAAAGAAATATCAAAAAGGTTTTGAGAAAACAGCCTCCTTCTCATCTACGCCTGTAAAAAGAAAAAAAAAAAGTTGAAATGATCTCCTAATGCATCTCCCTTCATAATTCATGCCGAAAGATGACATTTTCTCAGGATCTTAATTAAGATAATGATGAACACCTGTGTCGGCATTCTTTGGCAAGACAGCATTATCCATCATAATCTTTTAAGTACTCTCAAAAAAACCAACAAAATCGTATGACGGAACCAATCTGTTGCCTCTCCTTGCACTACGTTTTACATCTCAGACACACACAAGAATGATTAGATCTTTAAAGACTGCAATAAAAGCGGGATCGTTAGATTTTAAAGTTTCAACAGAAAGTAGCTACTAAAGTAATTAAATTAAGGTGTATCATATCCAAGATACCCAAGTTTAACTCCATTCACTACAAGCCACCTGGAACGAAACCACTCACAGTTAGAGTCTACCAATGGCTGTACTTTTAAAATACAGTTTGCTGTTATTTTAAAGACCCATCTGCTTCTTTTTCTGCTCCCAGAAAGAAAATATTCACAGCTGATCCCTATTATATATTCATGCACTAATTTATTAAGCTATTTTATGCTGTGCCACATATGTTTGCACACCCTAAATGAAATTATGCAAAAGAAACCAGTGTAGAAAAACAAATATGCAAATTCAAATGTTACTACATTTTGGGTCATATTTTGTGCAGGCATCTCAAATCCAAGTTGCCCTCTTGTCAAAAACCCTACTGGAGTCTGACTACTAAACTAACTAAAGATCCTTTCAAATAGCCTTGCAGGACCAGCCCATCAGACTGAAGGTTATAAAAACAGTGATTTTAATTATTCATTTATATAAGCAGAAATTAAATTCACATGCCTTTATTTAAATAAAGTTAAGAGTGCACTTCCCATCGTTAAGTAAGATTTTAAGGGTACATATTTCTTCTATTGAATTAATAATTTATCTGTCAAAAAATTATGAGAAAAATATACAAAGTCCAGAATTTTAATATATATTTGCACTGATATAGTTTCACTGGCAGCTACAAAGTACACAATCTCCTGATACCAAGAACTCATCTATACCTTTGAATGCACCTACCTTCAGTAAAAATGAAGAGAAGCAACAAATGCATCCTCAAGCCCCACATTTGTTAACAGAACTGACAGAACAACATAAACAACGGTCTTGAAACAAACTTATTTCCCTTCAACCACATAGCTCAAAAGTCCTGCAAAGCAGATTAGTCTTAGGCTTTCACATTTTAATATGCCTATCAGAGGAAAAAGTTGCTGTGACTAGTCATTCAGTAGAGCTATCATTGTGCAAATAAAGCAGAAAATAGAGACATCCTTAAGAAATGAGTCTCAAATTTGATATAAAGTGAAGGTGACAACCACAGCAATAGAACTATAAACTAAATGTTTCAATATCTTGAATAATTATCTACAGTTCTTTTAAAACTGCAGAGAATATAATAGTGGCATAATGTAGTGAGAATGTCAGCTTGATAGACATTTACAATCCTGGCGGCATAAGAGTCCTATCACTACCGTTTATTAATCAGCTCTGGTATTATGTTGCAATGCATGAAACTATGCATGAACTCACCACAGTTTCCAAAATGTACGCCTACAGAAGAAAGATTAGTGGAACATCAGAAATAAAGAGGGTAATTTTACATGACGTTAACCTTACCTCCTTCCTCCAAAAAGGCAGATGCCATGGGAAGATGGTTAAAACTTCTGCTTCTCCCTACAAAGAAAGGAACACGGAAAAGCGGTTAGTTATTCTACTTACATATAAAATGAATGTTAAATGTATAAAACTTGACCAGACGATATCTCACTCCCCGAACAAGGGGGATTGTCAGAGGATTATGACAGAAGCGCTTTTGAATGGGAAAAGAAATGCGGCGCTCCAGAGCAATCGCAAAATGAACCCGGGGACAAACACCGGTGACACCGTGCAGCTGAAAACTGATGAAAGTGCACACCTGTGTGGATCGAGCATGTAAAGGGAGCGTGCGAGCCAGGGACCCGTCCCGCTTACCGGGGCAGAACCGCATGGATTTTAAAAGAGACGAAACTCCCTACACTCTACGTTAAAAAAAATAAATTAAACCAAACCAAACAAACAAACCCCCAAAAATAAATGGCAGGGAGGGTGCAAGAAGAGAGAGCAGACAGAGCGCAGCTCGTCAGAATCGCCGAGAAGGGTGCCGGCACCCACCTCTCCTTCCGAACGCCTCTCCCGCGACTGGAGCGGGGTCGGTGTCCCGGTGTCCCGGTGTCCCGTGTCCCGGTTTCTCGGGGAACCGGCCCCGCCCGTCAGGGGGCGCCCCAGCGCGCGGGGCAGCGCTGCCGCCGCGCCCCGCGGTCAGACCCGCGGCCCCGCTCCCTCACCTCGGGCCGGGCCGGGCCGGGCTGAGCCGAGCCGAGCTGAGTCGAGCTGAGCTAAGCTGAGCCGAGCCGAGCCGAGCCCAGCCGGGCTGGCGCAGGTCGGGAGCGGCCCGCAGCGCCTCCGCGCGCCGTCCTGTCAGCACCGCCTCCGGACTCCCCGGCAAGCGCGGCCCGCGCCGCCACCGCCCCTCCACACCCCGCGCTGAGGGACAGCTCGGCCGGCCCGTGCGAGGAGGGGAGCGCCCGCCGCCGGCCGGGGCACAGCCACTCATGCGCCGGGACGGCCGGGGGCGGGACTGGCGGGGCCGCGGACTGATGGGTACTGTAGTGCACTGTCGTGTGTAGTCTAGCGCAGGGCACTGTAGTGTGGTGTAGTGCGGGCGGCGCCCCCCTCACCGGCCCCGCTCCTGCCGCGTCTCCCCGAAGCCAGCGGGCAGAGCGCGCCTTGCCCGGCCGGCCCTTCCCTTCCAGCCCCGGCCCTGCAGCGGGGCTGCCCGGCAGGTCTCAGCCTGTGCCCAGCTGGAGGGCTGTGGATTCTGCCGCCGGGACGGAGCCCCGGAGAGAAGGAGGGAGGGAGGGAGCGGGGCGGCGTCGGTGTCGCCTCCACGGCGACACAGGGAGCTCCTGCCCCGGCCTGCCCGTTTTAAAACACACCCCCGCCCCTTGCTGTCTCCGCGTCCGTCCCGCTGGGGACAGAGGCGAGAGCATTAGGGTCGGGGAAATGCGAAAGTTACAAAACAAAACAGATTTTAAAAAAATAAATGTAATTGTATTGTCCCCCCTCCCTCGACCGAGAAAGGCACGGTGGGTGCGAGGCAGGTCCGGCTCCGCAGCTCCCGGTGACCGGGGGTCCGAGGCGGCGGGAGCAACGCCTTCGCCTCAGCCGCGAAAGGAGAAAAAAGCGAGAAGGGAATAAATCGGGATATGTTTCTCTTGGAAAATATATCTGGTGGAATCATAGGAGATTACATCTCCTGATCGGCGAGGATTTATCCCGGTTCATATGGTTTTAATCTGCTTTCCCCTCGACCCTTCTATAAGCCGAGGAGGGGGAGGATACCCTCAAACCCGCGGGCAAACCCTCGCTCTGAGCGGTGCCTGCGGACCCATCTCCGCACCCGCCGCTCCCCTCCGGATCTCCTCTCTCCCGCGACCGGCGCTGGGAAAGACTAAATCCTAGCCCTCCGCGAAGCCGAGCCCCGCTCCTGGCCGGACCCCCGCCGCCGCTCCGCCCGCACAGCCGCCCGCAACAGGTCCGGCGGCGGGACGGCCCCTGCCCGCGGGGGCGACCGGCCACGCAGCCCAGCGCTGCCAGACCGGACCGGGCTGCGGCGCTTCCCCGACGAAAATCTCCTTTTTTTGTTGAGAAAAGAAAAACTAACAGCACCACCACCACCACTCCCCGTATATTCCACCTCCAGTGATTTAGTGGAGGGAGGGGCAGGGGCAGAGAGCACGAGGAGGGGTGGCTGTGCAGTGGGGGAGCTGCGCGGCTAATAAATCTTATTAAAGATCTATTTTTTTTCATATACTGATTGGCTTGCATTCCGGCGCAGCGCGGCTCCGCACGGTATTTAGCACATGCAGAAAGTTGGAGCTGATTTTAAATGGCTCGGAGGTGACTGCAATCCAGGAGCCGGCGCACTTGAGCCTCTGAGCGCTGGGGAGGGCCAGGGAAGCGCGGAGCCCTCCCGCTGGTTGGGCCCGGCCGCGGCAGCCCAGCGGGGTCCTGCCAGTCCTTCCACTGACAACACCCCGCGAAGGAGGAGCCTCGCCGGGCCGCGCAGAAGGCGTCAGGAGCTGCAATTTCCAACTTAGCATCTTGGCAGGACCCTTCGGAAAGCGAGAGCGAGGAGGAAGGAGAAAAAAAAAAGCCCCCCAGTGCAAGGGGGAGAGAGAGAGAGATAGGAGAGAGTGAGGGGGGTGAAAAAAAGGGGAAAGCAAGGGGGGGAGAAAAAGGAGGAAGCGGTGCCCAGCTGCAGGCGAAATCGGAGCAGCAGCCCCGGCGCAGAGCAAGGTGCCGCCGCTGCCCAGCTGGCGAGGGCGGAGAGGCGCCCGCGAAGCCCCGGCCGCAGCCGCCCCAGCCCGGCAGCGCGGCCGCTCCCTCCCGGCGCCTTGGGCTCCCGGGTATATGTGTGCGCCTGGCCATGTCGTATCCTCAGGGTTACTTGTACCAGCCGTCAGCGTCCTTGGCTCTCTACTCCTGCCCGGCGTACAGCACCAGCGTAATCTCCGGACCCAGGACCGATGAACTTGGGAGATCTTCTTCGGGCTCCGCTTTTTCCCCTTATGCCGGATCTACTGCCTTTACCGCCCCTTCCCCGGGTTACAACTCCCATCTCCAGTACGGCACCGACCCGGCCGCCGCCGCCGCCGCCGCCTTCACTTCCTACGTGGTAAGAGCAGCCGCGGGCAGGCGGCACCGCGCCGGGCACGCCGGCATCCCGCGGGCGCCTGCCCCCCCTCCCGGGCCTGCTTTTTGTTCCCATTTTATTTTTGAGATCTCGGGGACAAAAGGGAGCGCGGCTTCCCGCATCGCCGCCCAACTTTCCCGCATCGCCGCCCAACTTTCCCGCATCGCCGCCGTGCACTGCCGCACACTGTTGCTGGCGGCAGCGGCGGACAGGGCCGGGCGCGGGGGGAGCCACCAGCACGGCCCGGGAGAGCGGGACCGGGGCAGGCAGGGACCAATTTCATTCCCTATAAAAAAAAATAATTTTTTAAAAAATATATGTATATAAAACAGCAGTCGTAATTCCTCAACAATTAGCTTATTGTGATTGAAAAGGGAATAAACCCAGCACCGGTCGGCGATGGGAGAAATCCGAGCGATAAACCCAGGCAACTTTCCCCTGCACGGCGATAATTAGGCTGCTTAAATATTGCAGAGCTCTAATCCCATGGCCGCGAGCTGCTCCGCGGGGCTGTGCGGGAAGTGAAGGGGATGGCAGGGCACTGCGCCGCCGTGCGCGCCCGCGGGGCACCGCGGCGCCGGCCCGGGTGCAGGACATCCCCGCCGCAGAGCTGCGGCCGCCGCCAGCGCCCCGCAGCTCCCCCAAAAACCCAGCGAGTTTTGCTCAGCTTCTCCCCTCTGTTTAGGGTCTGGGCAGAGTTTCACAGTTCCTTCTTTCTTTTTTTCTATATTTTTTTTTCTCTTTCTTTTCTCTGAGCTTTCTCTTTTCCCTCCTCTTCTCTCTTTTTTTGTTTCTCTTTTATCTTCTTTTCCTCTCTTTTCTCTTCTCTTCTTCCCTTTATTTTTTCCTCCTCCTGCCCCAGGGCAGGCAGAGGAGCGGCCCAGTCCGCCCGGTCGCCTGGGCCCGGCAGGTTGCCTACCGCGATGGCAGCGCGGGGGGAAGGCTCCGGACCCCTGCCGCTGTCTGCCCCCACGCCGCGACGCCCACTTGCTTTTCCGCTCCTGCATTTGGGAGAGAGGCGCTGGATTGCTGCAGGCAGCCGGTGGCCTCCTGAGGCCGGAGGCTCCCGGCCCCCTAGGAGTTCCCAGGCCCTTCCGCCCGTCCTCCCGGGAAAGAGCCGGGGGAGAAGCCAGGCAGGGCCCGGCGCCGGGGGAGAGGCTGCAGGGCGCGGGCAGGGGCCGCAGGCAGGCCCTGGCGCTGCCCTTGTCGTGTCATTGCCGCCCCGCGGCCGCCTGACCTCGCCTCGCCGGGCCGCTCTCCCCTCTCTCCCCAGGGCTCGCCCTACGACCACACGCCGGGCATGGCCGGTTCCCTGGGGTACCACCCGTACGCGGCGCCGCTCGGCTCCTACCCCTACGGGGACCCCGCATACCGTAAGAACGCGACGCGGGACGCCACGGCCACCCTCAAGGCCTGGCTCAACGAGCACCGGAAAAACCCCTACCCCACCAAGGGCGAGAAGATCATGCTGGCCATCATCACCAAAATGACCCTCACCCAGGTCTCCACCTGGTTCGCCAACGCGCGGCGGCGGCTCAAGAAGGAGAACAAAATGACCTGGACCCCGCGAAACCGCAGCGAGGACGAAGAGGAAGAGGAGAACATAGACCTGGAGAAAAACGATGAGGACGAGCCCCAGAAACTGGATGAGAAGGGGGACCCCGGGACGCCAGACACAGGTAGAACGGCGGGCTCGGCCGGGTCACCGCGCCCCCGCCCTCGGGGCTGCCCCCGGCCCGGTGCGGGGCGGCGGTGGCGGGGCTGCCTGTCCCCTCGAGCGGGCAGCCGTGTCGGGGGGAGCCGGCGGGCAGCGGTGCGGGCCTGGCGACGGCGGGGACTGAGGGGTGGGCGGCGAATTGGGTGGGCGGGTTTGGGGGGCGCAGGGCGAGCCCGAGAGCTGCCCCCCACTCCTCTCCTTTCCACCCCCAGGAGCGACGGATCCCAAGGCAGCGCCGGGCTGCGAGCGCCTCCAGGAGTCCCCCGGCCCCCGGGAGACCGAGAGCGGCCTCAGCGACTCGGATTGCAAAGAGTCGGCGGAGGAGCGGCTCGACGGGCCGCCCGTCCCCCCCAAGGCGCCCGGCGCTTCCCCGCTGGGACCGTGCCCGGCGGGCCGCGGGCCGCCGCCGGCGGGCGGCGAGGAGCCCCCGCCGTACCGCCCGCCCTCCGCCGCGGCCGG